GGAGTACCCAGACACCCAGCAATCACAGCCAGCCAGGGCACAGGGAGTAACCAGACACCCAGCAATCACAGCCAGCCAGGGCACAGGCAGTAACCAGACACCCAGAAATCACAGCCAGCCAGGGCACAGGGAGTAACCAGACACCCAGAAATCACAGCCAGCCAGGGCACAGGGAGTAACCCAGACACCCAGCAATCACAGCCAGCCAGGGCACAGGGAGTACCCAGACACCCAGCAGTCACAGCCAGCCAGGGCACAGGGAGTACCCAGACACCCAGCAATCACAGCCAGCCAGGGCACAGGGAGTAACCAGACACCCAGCAATCACAGCCAGCCAGAGCATAGGGAGTACCCAGACACCCAGTCACAGCCAGCCAGGGCACAGGGAGTACCCAGACACCCAGCAGTCACAGCCAGCCAGGGCACAGGGAGTACCCAGACACCCAGCAATCACAGCCAGTCAGGGCACAGGGAGTACCCAGACACCCAGCAATCACAGCCAGCCAGGGCCCAGGGAGTACCCAGACACCCAGCAATCACAGCCAGTCAGAGCACAGGGAGTAGTCCAGCTGTGAATATAATTTTTTCTCTTTTTCCAGATTATTCTAGCCTGAATTTGCCATTTTGTTTTTAATTTGCTACAACTCACAGTTTAATTAATAACCCTTATTAAAGGGATATCCAAGCACCATAGCTACTACAGCCTACTAATGGTTATAGTCGCAAGAGTGCCCTGGCTGTCACCTGTGGTACATCGCTGGCGCCTTTTCTGGAGCTGGAAGCTCCTAGATCAAGCTTCCATTATCTCCACTGAGCGATGCCCTCAGTACTCTACCAGTGAGCTAAGCAGTTTTCCAGCTACAGAGGAGGCTTCGGGTGCCTGGCAGAGTCCAGGTAAGTTGTCAAACAGTTGATTACTTACCTTGGATGGGATTCAGGACACTCTTGGCATCATAATCACTACAGCAGGATGTAGTAGTTAAAATTCTTGGAGTGTCCCTTTAAAACTAAGATATGCAGGCAGTGGCATTAGGGCATATGTGAAATGATCTCTTTCACCAGTGAGACAAAGGGGTTAAAATTTAAAGGGGAAACTAGAGGTTTTTACATTTAAATTTAAAACATTCTGGCACCATGGAAAAATTTAATTATAGGAGATTCCTTTGGCAATGGTGGCATATCTTTTGAACGGATGTTGCCATGTTTTTAGGTGATATATATTAACAATATTAAAGGGACACTATAGTCACCAAAACAGCTTACTCTTAATGAAGCAGTTTTGGTATATAGATCAGGCCCCTGCAGTCTCACTGCTCAATTATCTGCCGTTTAGTAGTTAAATCACTGTTTATGAACCCTAGTCACACCTCCCTGCATGGGACTTGCACAGCCTTCCTAAGCACTTCCTCTAAAGAGTCATCTAAAGTGTATCCTTTCTTTATCGTAAGTTCTGTTTAATTTAGATTTTCTTATCCTCTGCTATGTTAATAGCTTGCTAGACCCAGCAAGAGCCTCCTGTATGTGATTAACCCATTAATGACGGACCCGATCCGTCATGCGTTAAAATTAATCCCAGATCAGGGTGATCGCGGGGTTAATGCTCCTCCGGTCTGCCTCGGTATTCAAGGCAAAACGGGAGCACCCGATCGCGCTGTCCCTGCAGCTGTGATCGCTCTAACAGCATGTCAGAGCAAGGACATGTGCTGCAGGGACACCTGGTCCGCCTCCCTGCGCTTCCGCGTTCTGAGTGAAATGCAGGGAGACGACCCGGGCTGATCTTCTCCCTGCAAATTTTTTATTTTTTTTTTTTTAAAGGTAAATCCCACCCCCTTTCCCCTGCTTTAATAAAATTAACCCCTTCACTGCCATTTGATCACGAACTACAGCGATCAAAATACAGATCAGGGTATTTTACTATGATCCGATTTTTTATTTTATTTTATTTTAACTCCTGAGGGTTAACTTATTTTTTTAACCCTCTGGGGTTAAAGTTATTTTATTAAGTTAAATATTTTTTTTTTAAAAAATTATTATATATATATATATATATATATATATATATATATATATTTTATTATTGCCATTTATATAGCACCAACAGATACCGTAGCGCTTTACAATATTATGAGAGGGTGGATGTAACTATAGATAGGACAATTACAAGAAAACTTATAGGAACAAAAGGTTGAAGAGGACCCTGCTCAAACGAGCTTACAGTCTATAGGAGGTGGGGTATAAGACACGTTAGGACAGGAAATGTCAATCAAATTGGGTGGTAGTGAAGCAGAGCTGGAGGAAAGAGTAAAGCATGGTCCTATTGGAGAGAGCAAGAGACAGGTGTGTAAGGTAGAGGTTACTCTGGGAGGCCATAAGCTTTCCTAAAAAGATGGGTTTTAAGGCACGTATTAAATGATTTTAGACTAGGGGAGAGTCTTATGGCGGTAGGCTATAGGAAGGGAGCCGCCCGCGAGAAGTCCTGCAAGCGTGAGTTGGCCGTACGGGTGTGAGCAGCGGACAGGAGAAGGTCACGGGCAGAGCGTAGAGACCGAGAAGGGGCATACCTAGGGATCTGAGAAGAGATAAAAGAGGGGCTAGAATTGTTCAGTGCTTTATATGTATTGGGTTAGCACTTTGAATTGACTCCTATAAGATACAGGAAGCCAGTGTAAGGACTGGCAGAGGGTTGAGAGGACCGACTAGAGAGGAAAATCAGTCTAGCTGCAATTCATTACAGACTGTAGCAGGGCAATACGGCTTTTGGGAAAACCAATCAGGAGAGGGTTACAGTAATCCATGCGGGAAATTACTAGAGCATGGACAAGCTCCTTGGTAGCATCTTGCGTAAGAAAGGGACGAATGCGGGCTATGTTTTTAAGATGGAATCTACGGGATTTGGCAACAAACTGGATGTGAGGTTCAACGGTGAGGCCAGAATCAAGTATGACGCCAAGACAGCGCGCTTGCAGGGATGGACTTATGTGTATATTACTAACTTGGGTGGAAGTTAGTGGCGAATTTGGTGTTCACGTTAAGTTTTTTTTTTAAAGTTTGAATAATGTTTTAAAAAAAAAAGTAAAAAAAAAAAAAATCCCAATCCCACCCTGTCCTAATAAAAATTAACCCCTTCCCTGCCAGTTGATCACTGCTTACGGTGATCACAGTATAATACTGATCTGATCTGTTTTTTTTAAACCCTGAGGGTTAACTTTTTTTTTTTTTTACTCTCAGGGATTCAATTTATTTCATTAATTTAAATATTTTAAAATAATATATTTTGCTAGCTGGGGTGGATGGAAGTTATGGGAAGTTGGGGAAATTACTGGAATTTACTTACTGCTGCTTACTGCTAGTTAGGGATCAACGGTAAAAAAAAAAAAGTTTATAACAATTTTGAAAGTGTAAAAAAAGTAAAGTTTAAAAAAAAAAAATACATTAAAAATAAATGCTAGTGAAGAGCTAATATGCTCCCCATCCTGAAACAAGGAAAAGATCCAACTATTGTGGCTAGTTATCGCCCTATCTCTCTAATTAATTCAGACGTTAAAATATTCTCATCTATATTGGCAGAACGCCTTAAGAGTATCATCAATAAGCTCATCCACAATGATCAAATAGGTTTTATTCCAGACAGATGGATAGGCTCTAATTCAAGAAGAATCATCGATATAATTGATAATGCTAATAAGAAACATATTCCTCTTATGACCTTAGCAGTTGATGCAGAAAAAGCCTTCGATAGGTTAAACTGGAAGTTTTTAGAATTAACTTTAGAAGCATATGGAATAGAAGGCTGGTTGTTAAGGGGAATTATGGCTTTATATAAAAATCCTTCAACTAGAATAGTAGGCCCAAATATTTGCTCAGATTGGGTATCAGTAAATAATGGGGTGAGACAAGGATGTCCACTTTCGCCATTATTATATGTTCTTTCAATAGAGCCCTTAGCGGAAAATATTAGGAAAAATGTAGATATAAAAGGATATAGAATAAGAGATAGAGAATTTAAAATAAGTCTCTATGCGGACGATATCCTCTTGTCAATTACTGAACCAGCTAGCTCTTTGAATTATCTGATGGAGGAAGTTAGAGTGTATAGCCATTTGGCAAATTATAAATTAAATAATGAAAAAACAGTTGTGATGAGTATTGAATTAGATAAGAAGATTAGAGAGGAAATTAGTAATCAATACGGATTTATATGGGCACCTCAGAAATTTAATTGTTTAGGAATATTGGTTACTAAAAATATAGAGAGGATGATGGAAGAAAATTTTCTAAATTTATTAAAAAGTACAAATTTATTACTTAAAGAGTGGAGGAATATGCAGATTACTTGGTGGGGCCGTATTAACGTTATCAATTCTTATATTATTCCTAAGTGGAGTTATTTATTTCAGATGATTCCACTTAGGATTCCAGACATATGGTTGACGTTATTACAAAACAATTTAGAAAATTTCATTAATAAGGGTAAGAAAAATAGAATAAATAGAAACATCTTATCATTAAAGACTAAGGAAGGAGGTTTAAACTTTCCTAATATAAGAGTTATATACTGGGCAAATGTGATCAATCACATGTATAGGTCCCAGACGGAGACAGTTCAAGAAGAAAGCTGGTTCAGTATTGAAATGGAAGATCTGAGACTAAAAAATCCAGAAGGTCTGCTATGGAATACGAAAACTCTAGATAATATGGAGATAGATATCAAAAAAAATATTATATGGGCCCAAATGTTGCCTGTCTGGGAGGAAATTAAAAAGAAAATAGGCCTCAAATATGCAATTATGGATACGGCAAATTTAAGGATAGTAGAAGCTAATATGAAAGATCTATCTCTAGAAACTTGGAGACTTAAAGGAATAAATAAAGTTTCACAGATATTAAACTCAGATAAAATATTGCCTTTTGATATTATAGTACAAAAATACCATCTTCCCCAACGAGAGATATTTGCATATTTGAGGCTTAAACATTTTCTGCAGAAACATCTTAATAATGATTCTGGAAAAGCGCATAAATTGATAAAACGCATATTTTCAAATCAGAATATACCGAAAGTCTTAGCTAAAGCAATAGAGATAACTAGAAATACTAATGAGGTAGTTAATTTCCCCCAGAGGACCAAATGGGAAAAAGATCTGAAGTGTTCCTTAGAACAAGAAGATTGGTGTAAAGCTATAAATAATACTCGTCGACAGGTTCAATGTTTAAATTTATTAGAAACTTATTACAAGGTTATGTATAGATGGTATTTGGTTCCTAGCAAGCTTTCTCAGATGTACCCTGGAGTCACCTCTAGATGTTGGAGATGCGATAAAGAGGAAGGTTCATTTCTCCACATTTGGTGGAGTTGTTTAAACATTCAGACCTCTATTAAGAGAACGATAGGATTTATTAAAGATAACACTGGAATAGAATTAGAAAAGAAACCAGAGGTAGTCTTGTTACATATGCACTGGCCGAATATGTCATATATAAATAGTTGTTTTATAATTCATTGTCTTGTTGCATTTAAAATTGTTCTGGCACGGAACTGGAAATCTAATCAAGCAGTTTATTGGGATGCCATTAAAGACCAAATCATCCTTCAGATGAGGATGGAAAGAGATCTAAGTATACCGTATTTGAATTCCCCAAAGAGAAGGGATCTATGGCAAAGATGGGTTAATAAAATAGAACCTATTATATAAATTAAATAGATAACCATTAGATCTGGTAATGCTTGAAGAGTAAGAGTCCTGAGCTAAGACATATTTTTATAATAGCCCGACCCCGCAGATAGTGTAACAGTGTAATGTGTTTGTCTATTGTGATTGTTTCAATGGTGCAATAGATGTTATGTGATTTGTGGTGTTATGTTGATATTTGTATTTATGTAAGAAATTGAATAAAAGAATTTATATAAAATAAATAAATAAATAAATGCTAGTGAAAAAAAAAATGATCCCACGCTAAGGTTCAAAATATGTCTCAAATATACATATTTGTATTCTGCGATGTCTCACGTGTAAAACAGTACCCCTATGTACAGGTTTTATGGTGTTCTGGGAAGTTAAAGTGTCAAATATAGCATGTTACATTTTTCAGTTTTTTTCGCATTCAAATTCGCCAGATTGGTTACGTTGCCTTTGAGAACGTATGGTAGCCCAGGAATGAGAATTACCCCCATGATGGCATACCATTTACAATAGTAGACAACCCAAGGTATTGCAAATGGGGTATATGTCCAGCCTTTTTTAGTAGCCACTTGGTCACAAACACTGGCCAAAGTTGGTGTTAATATTTGTGTGTGACAAATGCAAAAAACGAATTTGTACGCCAATTTTGGCCAGTGTTTGTGACCAAGTGGCTTCTAAAAAAGACTGGACATTTGTAATACATTGGGTTGTCTACTATTGTAAATGGTATGCCATCATGGGGGTAATTTTCATTCCTGGGCTACCATACGGTCTCAAAGGCAACGTAACCAATCTGGCGAATATCAAGGTGAAAAAACTGAAACGCAAGCCTTGTATTTGACTCTAACATTTGAAAACACCATAAAACCTGTACGTGAGGGGTACTGGTATACTCAGGAGATGTGGCTGAACACAAATATTAGTGTTTCAAAACAGTAAAACAGATCACAACAATTAAATTGAGAGTGCAAGTGCCATTTGTGTGTGAAAAATACAAAAAAAAAAAAAATTCACTTTCACTGACAATATCATCGTAATACATTTTACTGTTTTGAAACACTAATATTTGTGTTCAGCGAAGTCTTCCAAGTAAAACAGTACCCCCATGTACAGGTTTTATGGTGTCTTGGAAAGTTACAGGGTCAAATATAGTGCTAGCAAATTAAATTCCCTGGACTTATGGCCTGGGTTGTCTAGCAGGTCCCGCAAATTGTAATAAAATGAGTTAATTATGTAAAATTATTACATATATATATATATATATATATATATATATATATTACACAAGATCCAGCGCACTCACCTATCCACTAAACAGCAACTTCAATGTTGAAAGATTTTATTTGTTTTTTTTAAAAACCTAATCTAGGCAAAAATAATGGGGGTTTAGTTACATTATATGATCATACAGTGTGTTTGTGTATGACTGTGTGTGTTTGTGTCTGACTGTGTGTTTGTGTCTGACTGTGTGTGTGTGTGTGTTTGTGTCTGACTGTGTGTGTTTGTGTCTGACCGTGTGTGTTTGTGTTTGTGACTGAGGTGTGTGTGTGTTTGTGTCTGACTGTGTTTGTGTCTGTGTATGTGTCTGACTGTGTGTGTGTGTGTGTATATGTCTGACTGTGTGTTTGTGTCTGACCGTGTGTGTTTGTGTCTGACTGTGTGTGTGTGTCTGACTGTGTGTGTTTGTGTTTGACTGTGTGTGTGTGTCTGACTGTGTTTGTGTCTGTGTATGTGTCTGACTGTGTGTGTGTGCGCTTAGAAGGTATGGGGAAGGCTTTCTGGGTGGGGTGGCGCTGTGGGAGGGCGCTGGAGTTTCGTTCCGCCTAGGCAGCACAAAACCAGGATACAATACTGTATGCGTATATATATATATATATATATATATATATATATATATATATATATATATATATATACGTATGTGTGTGTGTATATATATATATATATGTTTTTAAAAATATTTTTATTTATATATAGGTGTATATATATATATATATATATATATATATATATATATATATATATATATATATATATATATATATATATATATAGTGCTATACACTTATGTATATAGATATATATTTTGTTCTACATGTATTTTGATATCTATATATTAAAATATAGTTACAACGAAATGACACATTTTATTTATTTTTAAATGTATTTACATATTTTTAGATATAAATATATAATATCTATTTAATCAATTTCATTCTACGTGTATTTGGATATTAATATATAATTATATATTAATATTAAAATACACTTGGTGTGTGCGTGTATGTGTATATGTGTATATATATATATACATATATATATATATACACACACACACATATATACATATATACAGGGTTCACATATACACATACATATACATACACACATATACACATACACATATACATACACACATATAATATAAAACGTGGAATATACCTTGCACTCAGGCGTCAAACATACCAGACCGGGTGCAATACCAGGGCTTGAATATCCAAATGGTAAAATAGCATGGCTGCACTCACGGATTTCCAATAAAATATAACTTTTATTCCAGATCTATTTTAAGTAACTGGAATAAAAGATCTCTCTCTCTCTCTCTCTCTATCTATATCTATATCTATATATATACATACATACATACACACACACAGTTGCAAGAAAAAGTATGTGAACCCTTTGGAATGATATGGATTTCTGCACAAATTGGTCATAAAATGTGATCTGATCATCATCTAAGTCACAACGATAGACAATCACAGTCTGCTTAAACTAATAACACACAAAGAATGAAATGTTGACATGTTTTTATTGAACACACCATGTAAACATTCACAGTGCAGGAGGAAAAAGTATGTGAACCCTGGGATTTAATAACTGGTTTTTATTTCTTATTATCTAGGTGGGCCCTCTTTTTACAGGTCTAACCTCACATCGGTTTTGGCACACCTCAACCGACTTTGTTCTTATTAAACTTTCATTATATCACAATCATATGTTCCTCTACATGTGTTGTACACAAAAATATATATGTATATGTGATCTAAGTATTTATAATTTTATTTTAAACGGTTTTAACTTTTTTTTTTTTTCAGGCAGCAGGGTGACTATCATTCCAGGCCCTCCCCCTGCTGGCACTGCTGTGGACGGCTATTCCGTCCATGTGATCATGAGGTCTCGCGATCACATGGCCCATGAGGGCCGGAACGGCAGCAGAGGGGCTCCCTGGGATGCCAGATAAGTCCTGCCACCGTGATCGACGGCAAGCGGGTAAGTACATAGGACAGCGGGGATGTGCTATGCGGCCTGCCGGTGTTTACAGCCGGGTCCCCAAGGACCGCCCGCCGTCCTTAAGGTGTTAAACATGGACACAGCGTGAAACTTCAGAGTTAGAAAAAAACCTGAATGGCTGTGTCTCAAATGTGCTCCTTCAACATCCACATATACCTGGCAAAGATACATACGGGGTATTGTACTCAGATGACATAGCTGAGCAACATATGAAAAATACTGTGCAATCTCACTGTGTGTCAAAAAGGCAGAAAAATATGCTTATTACCACTACACTTGGTACAAGCTAGCGGAAAAAAGGTCCCACACTAAGGTTCAAAATATGCCTTTTAAAATACCCTGGGATGTCTTCTTTAAGAAATGGTATGCCTTTATGGGATAGTTGGAATATATAGCCTGCAAAAAGACTCCAAAATGGGACATGGACACAGCGTAAAAATTCAAATTTTGAAAAAAAACGAATGGTTGGGTCTCAAATGTGCCCCTTCAATATCCACATATACCTGGCAAAGGTACATACAGGGTATTGCTGTACTCAGTCGACATAGCTGAGCAACATATGAAGTATTATACAATCGTAGCACACATAAACGTATGCCTTTATGGTGTAATTGAAATATGTCGCTTGCTGAAGTGCTCCAGAATGGAAAACAGAGCCATCAAAACCATCTATGAAAATTCACACTTAAAAACCTGTAATTGTCACGTCTCTTTTACAGCACTGTAACTTCACAAAATAGTGTCTAGGTCATACATTGGGCATATTGTTTTACTCAGAAGATGTAAGTGAGCATTATTTGGGGGGATTTTATGACAGTGGCACATCAAGTGTAAGAAATACTCCGCATAAATTCAACCTGTATGTAAAAAATTCAATTTTCGATTTGACAGGCCTAACTATAGAAACTGAAATAGCCTGGTCTCTTTTATGGCATTGTAACTGCACAGAATAGTGCCAAAGGCATACAATGGGGGTATCGTTATACTCAGCAGATGTAGCTGAACACAATATGGGGTTCTGTGCAGGAATAACACACACCAGCTTTATGAAATACACATTACAAAAACCTTGTTATATGTGAATGTGTCAAAATAGAGAAAAAACACAATTTAACCCCAATATTTAGCAGAGATTAGCGATGAAATGGCTATGTAAAAAGAGTCACAATAACCTTAGGTAAATAGCCTGTGATGTCTACTTTATATAAATATATACTTTTGTGTGGCAATTTTGTTTTCTTTTATGGCTATTAAACTTACAAGACAAACATACCAACTTCTAATATTGTTTCACATTAAAATTTTATTTTAGTCCTTGTATTTTGTGACCTGTAACTTTCAAAATAGGCTGAAATCTATGAATCTAGACACAAATTAAATTATTCCCCACATTTTAGGGCAAAAAAAAAAAACAAGAAAATTTATATATGTATGTTACATCAAATTAAAGCCATTTTTGTCTTCTAAAAATGGTATATAATAATAAGTGTTGGTGCAATAAATGAGAGAGATGCAAATTGCAGTTGAACACAAACCGCAAAAAAATGCAAAAATTGCTTGCGTCCTTAAGGGTTAAAGTTCAAATTACAGAGAAAGAGAAAATTGTTTAAGGTAAATTACATCTGATTGAACGTGAAACCAGTTTTTTTTTTCATGCAGACTGTGTCAAATCAGAGCCAGGGGAGGTGTGGCAAGGGGTGCATAAACAGAAACAAAGTGATTTAACTCTTAAATGGCAGAGAATTGAGCAGTGAAACCCGAGGCATGATCTATACACTAAAACAGCTTCATTAAGCTAAAGTTGTTTAGGTGACTATAAGACTGGCTTGTCGTATACGATTCTCTATTAAGGCACCCCTGCAATTGTAATACTTAAAACTACCCGAAGCATCATTACTATTTCAGTGCTTTGAAGTGGACATGGTGCCTGAAGTCTGGATGTGCAGAGTTTCACTATAAAATGCTGCAGTTACAACATTTACGCACTTTGACTGAGGTGTATTCATCGGCAGCAGCGCCACGTGCTAGAAAACAGAAATTTGTACTTACCGTAAATTCTTTTTTTCTTAATATGGTGGCAGTAACTGAAGGGTTATACTTCTCCCTGTGGACAAGACATCTTAGCAATTAATTAAAAAAAGGACCCTCCCCCTTTACCTATAAAGTGAAGGCCTGCCGAAGAATATGCCAATTCTATAGCCTGAATGAGCCAACGGGACAAGGTACCACGGGAAGCTACCATGCCTTCGAGGTGCCCCTGAAAATTAATAAAGAGATGATCCAATTTTCTGAATTCTTTTGTTCTTGTTAAACAAATTAACAAGTCCAATTTCTGCCATATGAGCTCGAGGAGATGAAGCATTGCTATAAAATGAGGGTAATATGATTGGCTGATTAACCGTCTTAGAAGATACTACTTTTGGTAGAAAGGACAGTCTTGGATAAAGAACAACCTTGTCATTGTGAAAAATGGTGAATTCATCTGAGGAAGAAAGAGCGTGAAGTTCTCCCACTCTTTTAGCTGATGTAATGGCCACCAGGAACAAAACCTTGAGAGACAAAATTTTTAATGGAACTTCTTCCAAAGGTTCAAAGGGATGAACACTAAGAGCTTGTAGGACCAGGGTAAAATCCCATGTTGGAAACCTAGATCGCTTAGGTGGTCGTTTGAGACTGATGGATCTAAAAAATCGTCTGATGAAGACATTGGTAGCCAGATCTTTGATTAGAAAGAAACTTAAGGCCGATACATGCACCTTGAGTGTGGAGACACTCAACCCAGCTGAAAACCCATCTTGTAAAAAAATGGAGAATGTTATCTATAGATGGATGCAAAATTGGGCACTGGTGTTCCTTACCCCAGTGTAGAAATTTAGACCAAATCCTAAAGTAAATCTTAGAAGTAGATTTTCTAGTCGAGTGGAGTAAGATTGCTATTCTGTCTTCTTGTAAACCTTGGTTTTGAAGGATTAGCCTTGCAGTAGCCAAGCTGTCAACCTGAAAGTTTCTAGGACTTTCACGGGCAGGTCCCGGTTCACAATAAGTAGATTTGATCTTGGAAGTTCCCAATAATAGATGGTCATTTCCTTTATGGCCGCAAACCAGACTGTTTGGCCAATATGGGATTATCGCCAATACCCTCGCTCTGTCTGTTCTTATCTTGAGAAGGACCTTTGGGATTAAGGGCAGAGGTGGAAATACATAAGCCAGTCGGAAGTTCCACTCTATTGATAAAGCGTCTATCCAATTGGGTCGATCTGTTCTGCATAGGGAGGCAAAATTGTGAACCTTTTTGTTTGAGGCTCTTGCCATCAAGTCTACTTCTGGAAGACCGAATATTTATGTCAGGTATCTGAAGATTTCCGGGTTCAAGGACCATTCTTTTTGGTCCCACTTCCCTCTGCTCAGATCGTCGGCTATTATATTGTCGCTGCCTCTTATGTGAACTGCTTTGATATCTTCCAGGTTTTTTGTGACCATTCCATAATTTCTGCACAAAGACCGAAAAGCTTCCTTACTTTGGTTCCTCCTTGACGATTGATATGAGACTACTGTCCGATTGTATCATCACTGCTTTTTGTAGTATCCAAGTCCTGAGGTGAAGTAGTGCGTAAAGTACTGCTAACAAGTCCCTGAAATCTGCAGATTCTTTGGCCTCCCCCGATGACCATCTTCCTTGGAACATGGTGGATCCTAAGTGAGCTCCCCAACCTGTGCTTGAGGCGTCTGTAGTGACTACCATCCAATCCTTTGGTCGAAAGGATAATCCTCCTGAAAGGCATTCTGATGTTTTCCAGGTAGTGAGGATATTCCATTGCAACGGCCTGACCTCCGACCTTGCCCATTTGACAGCTGGAAAGGTGGCAATTAGAAGACCCAAAACACCCATTGCCTGTCTGAAGGAACAAGTTTCCATCCTTTGGAGATTGGAAATCTCTTCTCTGGTTTTCCTCCTTTTTCGTTTGGGAAGAAAAATTGACATGTAGACTGAATCTATCGTGAATCCGAGAAACTCTCTCTCTCGTGGGGATGAGTACTGATTTTTTTCGGTTTAAGATCCAGCCATGGTTTTGAAGAAAACTTAAAGTGACCTGCAGGTCCTTGTGCAGCTGTTCTTCTGTATGTGCAATGAGGAGCCAGTCGTCCAAATAAGGGATGATTGAAATACCTAATTCCCTCAAACGAGCTGTTAGAGGAGTAAGGATCTTTGTAAATATCCTTGGGGCAGAAGACAGACCAAACGGCAGAGTCCTGAACTGGAAATGAACGGTGGATCTTCCTTTTTTTATAGCAAATCTTAAAAAAAAAAATTTGAAGCGATAGCGGTTGGAACATGTAGGTAAGCATCCTTTAAATATATTTTTACCATAAAGTCGTCTCTTCGTAAAAGGGGAAAAAAAAATCGAAGTGATTGACTCCATACGAAATCTGTGATAGGGGATAAATTGGTTTGTGTATTTTAGGTCCAGAATGGGTCGAAACGGGTGGTCTGGTTTTGGCACCAGAAATAATCTTGAATAGACTCCCCAAAATGTTTGTTTTAATGGTACTCTTTCTAACACTCTTTTTTGTAACAGCAGCATGGTTTGACAAAATAGGGCTTGTGATTTCTTTGCAGACTGGTATGTGGATACCAGAAACTTTGTTCTTGGCTTTTCTGTAAATACTATCTTGTATCCTTTTTGGATCAGATTTAGAACCCAAGGATTCCTTGTGGTCTTTTCCCATGCAGGAAAATATTGTTGGAGCCTTCCTCCTACATTTCTGGCGTCAGAAACGTCTCTCCTTATCTCTGAAAGTTCTTTTAATATCACCCCTTTGTACGAATCTTTGAAAAAATTGCGGCCCCTCTTGATAGAATCTTCTATTTTTATTCTGATAATTTCTGTATCCTGATTCCCAGGAGAACTTCTTATCCTGAGGAAGCGCTTTCTTGGTTTCTGACTATTGCCTAATGATTTCTTCTAAGGGAGCCCCAAATAATTTTGTTTTTTCTAGTGGAAGCTCGCAAAGGACTGATTTAGAGACTCAATACGCTGTCCAAGACCTTAATCATAAGGCCCGTCTTGCTACCGAGGATAGTCCCATAATTCTGTAGCTAATTTTAGTTCTGGATGCTAACTTCTACTGTCATATCCAAAAGGTATTCATTAGCCAAATGCATTTTCTGAAACAAGTGGTTTAATTCTTTAACCTGGTCAGATGAAAAAACATCCTGTATCGTATTTAGCCAGATATCATTTGCTCTGGCAACCGTTGCTCCTGCCAGTAAAGCCCTGCATTGGAAACCGGCTGTCTGGTAAGCTCGTCTACATGAGGTTTCAGCTCTTTTATCCATTGGATTCTTCAAAGCTGAAGTTTCCCCTATAGGGATAGTGGTCCTCTTAGCAATCTGCACGACCTGAACATCTACTTTTGGGAGATCTTCCCAAATAACTTTGCCCGCCAGTCTGAAGATATCCTTGAAGTGTCTAGAAATAAAAGCATGTTTTTCAGGGTTTCTCCATTCCCTAAAAATGAGATTCACGAGGCTTTGCTGTACAAAAAAAAACCCTTTTAGGATTCTCAGTATCCTGAGGTAGGATTGTTAGGTTAACTTCCTTTAAAAAATTTCAAATTTCATCGGAAGATAAACCAACCGGTTCACTTGAAGAGGAACCTGAATCATCTGAATCAATTGATGAAATATATTCCCCAGATGAGCTTTCAGGTGTAGGCGGCGACCTTCTTTTCTTGATCCTTTGTTGTATCGGGGATTCCACCTTTTTATACTCAATCGTTTCCAAGGTCTGGGCCAGATTTTCTTGGAACCAGGTTAGGAAAGACTGCATATCTTTTTGCTTATCTCTTTCCAAAGAATTTGCAGTACACTGACTGCACATCTTTTTCCTTGATCCATCTGGGAGAGGCGTTGCACATTCACTGCAAACTAGATGTTTAGATTTTACCGTAGCCTTTCTAGGCTTAGCAGCAGCCAGATTTTCTTTGTCCATGTCAGGATAAGCTGGGCTAGACATATCTGTGGAGAACATATGAAAGGAGGTTTTTTTAGCTTGATTTGAAAATATTTTCAGAGAATATTTTAAAGTAAAGATTAATTTAAATCTCACCTCAAAATACCTCTGAGCCGTGTGGGGGGCAGGTGACACGGTGTACTACTTCTGACCTGCATCCATGCAGTCAGTAGGTACTGCACAGCTTCTTATATTTGCCGGATTTCAATTTTCACGTTTTTTTAAAAAATTTATTTAAAAAAAAAAAAATATTCCTTTAAGGTTCCGGTATGCGCATGCGTGTTAGCGCATCCAGAAGCCACCCGGGCGTGCGTTCCACCCCTGTGCGCATGCTCGGCCCGAGCTCCACCTCCAGGAAGTAATGCCGGAACCGTTCTCGGCATAAATAGACTCTCCCTCCACTTGCTCCGTAACCTTACCAGTTAGGAGCATGGTCACAGCCTACCGCCCGGGCAGCTCTCGGACCGGGTCTCCCAGACAAAACCCGTGTGTCTCACCATCCGATGTCCTGTCCTTCCCTCTCGGGACAAGAAAGAAGACTGGGGTATGTCTGGAGGTACAGCACTTTATAGGTAAAGGGGGAGGGTCCTTTTTTAAAATTAATTGCTAAGATGTCTTGTCCTCAGGGAGAAGTATAACCCTTCAGTTACTGCCACCATATGACAGAAAAAAATAGTTTGATGATGGCTAATGTCAACTCTGTACATAATGCCATCTATTGGTAGAGCTGTTGCTCTCAGCCAATGAATGGCTAAGGGATCGGCACCCGGCTCTGTAGAAATTAGATGTCACCATAGCACCCGGTGGGACCCAGGTAAGAGGGCAAATCATTGCAAAACGGTTTACTTCATTATCAGGAGACTGCACCAGGGCACACCCTGCATCATAACCACTACAGCTAGGTGTAGTGGTTATGGTGCTTGGAGTAACCCTTTTAAAAACTGTGTTTATTTATTAAACAGTGAATTGTGGTGAAATGAAAGCCTAATTTAAAACATTAGGTCACAACAGCTGGGAAAACACTCCAGCTAGGGTCCTTTTCCAACCCGGCCATCATATCCAAGTCTTTACAATTTAGCTTTCAATTTGCCACACTGTTTAGTGAATTAAATAGTCTGTTTTTTCGGTGTGACCATTCCTAGTCATTCCAGTATTGCAATTTCCAGTTCCTTGCTGCCTGTATTTCAGTTTCAAACATGTAGCCCCTATTTTTGCCAGACACCCTTCCCTGCTGGAAGTTTGAACACAGCTGTGTGTATTAACTACTATTGCGAATGTTACCCAGATACGTTTAACCAATCAGGATGAAAGGCCTCATGGCTTCATTTGTAAATGCCCTTCGTAGGGAATTCACTTTTATATATAGGAGTTCTCTCCCATTTCTTCCTGTCCTGAAGAGTCAGGTCTAGACTAATAAGTTAGCTTGGGTTTCCTAAAAACAGTAGTGTTTGAGGTTCTGCTTGCCATGTCTTAGATCCTGCTAAAAGCTGTGATTTGCAAATATCTGGACAGAGGAGACCTTATTAGGCGAGTCTATTCCTACATGGGTCTCTTTAAAAGATATATGCACAGAATTTAGATTAGGCAGTCCAGAACAGAGTTCTTGGCAACCAATGTCACGTGTGCTGAGGATACAAGCTACCCCAGCACACAATTGTTAATATCTCTGTTTGTGCAATGTTTCAAGCAGAAACACTGCACATGCTGACTCCAACCACCATAAAATCACTGAAGTGGTCATGGTGGTTGGAGTAATCCTTTAAGAATTTATGCAGCCCTGGTCACCTCCCCCGGTTAATAGTGTTACATATTAAATCCCCAGCTATTTTACGATCATTTCACCCATGCAGCGTCTTGCCACATGTTGTATTACTTGAATTGGCTGTTTTTGCATATTTTGTTAATAATATCTATTCCAAGTATAAAAAAAATAAAATTTATTCAACTACACCATAATAGCATCACAACAATATATTCCCAAATCCCAACAGATGTTGCCTAAATACTGTACTTTCCTTTCAACGATTTGACAAATACAGGAAACTCTTTAATAATATTCTCGAAAAATAAGCACTGCCAAAATGATGTTTTAAAATTTTATTCTATATCTTTCTACTTTAAACTAAAGAGATAACTAAGGGGTGAAGGTAGAAAGACAGGAAGAGGAGATTAAGGGTGAGGCTGATGACAAAAAATCCATGAATGAGGCCGATTCCACAGAAACCTGCAAGATAAAAGAGACTGTGAAAAACAGCACCACCTGCAAATCAGCCCAGCCCAGGATTGCACTAATCATCATACCTTGCCGGATCTTTGGGGAGTCCATGAATCCAGTCGTCGTGTCCACTGGGCATGTAGAGGATTGTGAGGAGTTCTCCTCTTTGTAAAGTGCTGTGTTGTTTGACACACTATAAGCTGTTGGTGGGATCCTTGCATTGGCTGTAGAATGAGAAAGATCATAAGTAGATGGCATTTTACGAAAGTTTGATGCACTTGTTGATAAACTAAATCATGTAATCGTAACATTATTTTGATAAACCCAAGAAAATACCCAGATACTTTACCAAAAAATTGTGTTGAAAATCTGTATAAATAGAGGTCATATTTGTGGCAGTTGTGATAAGAAAAAAGTAGCTGCTACCAGTTAATATGGGTCACTTATTACTATAATTTCTACATGTATTTAAATATAATTTGACACAGATATGACAGTGTCAAGAAAAAAAAAAAAAAAAAAAAGAACAGCCTGGGCAAATCCCAGTTTTCACATTTCCTCTATTATATAATAGCCTCAATGACATTGTGACAATTCTACAATATTGTGTAACCTAGGGCTAACTTGCAGTGTGTCATATTAATTAGATTGCTGGAGAGGAGTCATGCATCAACTGCAATGGTAATGACCAGGAGAAAAATCACCAACTTAAGCATGGCAAATGTCCAATTTGGGCCTACAATATTAAACGGAGACCATGAGTGGTGGGGGGGATAGGGACGAGAAAACCCTAAAAACAAACATTGAATGTTCATTAAATTAAATTATTCCAAATAGAGGCACAATTAGCCAAGAAGGGACAATAGCAGATTTGGAGAAATTGTCTAGATCAGCTATTTTGATCTAATTCATGAAAATTCTAATTTTAGTGAATAACCAGGAAAAAAGGTCACAAAATTCAGGTCCCCCCATGTTGTCGATAAGGGCTTAACGCTGGAAAGCAAGCAGACTTTCACTCACAGCTTAGTTTACACAATTTCCCAGAAATATTGAACAGATTCCAGTCAATCATACAAAATCAGTGCAAAAATATGAATGTAAATGATTCAGAATAACAGCACATACAGCGCTGTTCAATTGGCAGAAAAAATATGCTTAATGAAAGAACCACACACCTACTTGGACGAATGCAATAAAATAATATACAAAAATGGTTTGATGTAGGAATGAATTGCTCAGATGCGTCGGAGACTTACAGTAATGTTTGGTCACAAATTGTGGGATCTCCAAAAGGCAGAGTGTGCTGTCAGGGTAGCAAGAATCCTCACTGCTGTTCCGAGTTATATTTCCATTCAGTGATGTATGCGATATTCCAAGCTTTTGCCCATGAAGGTTCAGTCGGGCAGGACTTATCAATGGTCTTCGATGGTACATGGACCCCGAGCTGGAGATAGCAGAGCCAGCAATAGAAGGGGTAGGGGAAGGAAGAGGAGTGGATGCACGACTACCTGACAGAAGGGAGTAGTAATCTGGGAGAAAGCAAATTGGACACCTCAGAAGTTCAGTCCTTTTTTTTCTAAGGCATTGCAATATATACACAAAGAAAAGTTAATAATACATTTGAATCTCAGGATTTATGGGTTTAACAAGGGGTTTTGTTAGTTGTATTTCAATTGCAAACTAAAATCGAACGACTGAACTACATCTCTTATTTCATGACATCACATACAGCTGAATCAAAAACACTTTAGGTTGGGAAGGAGGGGTAGCAAAGGAGGACTTGAACTAAAGCAGAGCCACTAAACTCACCCAGACCGTGTCATTTCAACTAACTACTGTAGCAGTCGCCGTGTTGTCTATCGGCTAAAACTAATTATGGAGTAGGGCACTTAAAGGTTTAGAAATACAGGTTTGTATTTGTGACAGTATAGTGTTCCTTTATATTGCTAGAAAGATTTGACTCAAATGTTACATCCGGTTTACCTGAACCAGCAGATTCCTGACCCTTGTAGGTAGAGGCTACGGATGGTGGGCGGCTTCCGCTGAACAGGTACCCCGAATCTGCAGCAGGAGCACACAAGATTAGATTTTATCTATTGACTAATATTGAACACATTCGCACACACAAAAAAACAAACATACAAAAAAAAGTCACTGTAAGCTCCCATTTTGTAATTCACACGAAAAAAATTGCATAAATATAGGCCAGTTTAACAACTTTCCAACTTTTTTGTTAACTCACTGTATAATGAGTAAATCCCCAAGTGATATCTGCACTCTGACAACACAGGGAAGTGTAAATATGCCAAATACTTGTTCGAATTTAAACCTTGACCATGACCACTGAAGAAAGCGGATTATGCCAAAGAAATTTACATTGATCCATTAAAAACTGTTCTTCTGTCATGTTAAAGAGATACTCCAACAATATATTTACTAGCATTTACTTATTCCAAGACTGTTTTACAGATTAGTAACTGTTTGAGAGCAAAATTAATAAGTGCCACACATTTTCAGTGCAGGAAACATATATGGCTATTCAGTGCATTGCGTGAGTGCCACCCATTTAATTTCTATAGGGTGTAAATATGTGGCCAATGTCTCTGCCTTTGAAATCCATCGGGGGCAAGGGGCTGGCTGGAAAGTCTGAGACACTGATTGTTGCACATTCCACTGCAGAGAGGGGGAGAGGTGTCCAGCTGACAGTGTCTTACACCCATTTAAAGAGAATCAAAATGATCCATGCATCCAATCCCCTTCCCCTGATTCATTGAAGGAAAAGAAGACCCGAAATATTTTATATGAAGCCACTTAATGAATTTCTCGTAAAATCTCTCATCGTGTGGAAACCCAGTCATTTTGCCATTCTGGTAGTACCTTTAAACTAGATGATGCCAATCTCTCCATCACTGCAACCGGAGGTGGTCCTTCTGCTCTGATAATGTCAATAGAAGTAATAAAAGCAGAGATATGGAGACGAATTTAATCTTTAAAAGGTTTCCCTTTACTTCATTTATTCTCCAGGTATGCGTTAAAAATAAATCCAGCAACGTACAACAAAAAGGGCTTTCGACTCCCCAAACATCAGTCAAAGCATTTCATACTTTAGTACTTTAGACTTGTGCACCTAAAGTGCTGACGTACGAAACGTGTTGACTGTTAATTTGCTGAATAGCAAGCATTCTTATACGTTGCCAAATTGATTTTAACCTAAATGTAGGGAATAAATTAAGAAAAGGGAACATTTTAAAAATTAACCTGGTCTCAATGTCGCTGCTTTTATTACAAATTTTGGCAGAAATAAAATTGCAAATGTAAGAAACAAATCACAAATGGCATTGAATCACAGTATGTTTCGCTTGTGCACAGTTGACTTTCAGACTGTTTAAGCATATCAGGTGGAAATTATATTCAACTGTTCCATTACCTGTACGGGAAAGTGAAGGAATCGTGCCCAGAGAGAGGGCTTTGCTCAGACGACCATGCAGCGAGGAAGTGGTGTCCTTCAGTTGGGATTCATACTTCTGCTTTTTCATCAACTGCAGTAGCAGCTCAGGTGGGGTAAATAAAATGGGAGTAGAAGCAGGCACAACTCCAGGGTTGATGGGAACAGTTCCGACAAACGAATTACAATTTGACTCTTTGGAAACAATCCTGTTGAAGAGAGGAGGAGGCGGCTGAGCAAGATTCTCAGGACAAGAAGAAACTATACAGTCTATAGCAGAAAGTAAACAGCAAACATGAAAGAGCTCTCACTTCATCACAGAGTGTCTCAGGTTCTGCCAAGACCAGTGAAATAGTCAACATAAAGGAAATGGACAGCATTTCTTAGATTTGTGCTTCTTTCACTAGTTACCCAAATGCAACCTGGCTTAATAGAATCCTGAAATGTGATCAGTTACTTGTGGGACCCAATAAGAAAACAGAGAGTGCTGGATGTTTTCATTTATTTGGCTAAAACTAAAACAGAAAAAGAGACTTCACAAAGACCTAGGCAGATAATCACTTTACATAGAAACATCGAATGTGACGGCAGATAAGAACCATTCGGCCCATCTAGTCTGCCCAATTTTCTAAATACTTTCATTAGTCCCTGGCCTTATCTTATAGTTAGGATAGCCTTATGCCTATCCCACGCATGCTTAAACTCCTTTACTGTGTTAACCTCTACCACTTCAGCTGGAAGGCTATTCCATGCATCCACTACCCTCTCAGTAAAGTAATACTTCCTGATATTATTTTTAAACCTTTGTCCCTCTAATTTAAGACTATGTCCTCTTGTTGTGGTAGTTTTTCTTCTTTTAAATATAGTCTCCTCCTTTACTGTGTTGATTCCCTTTATATATTTAAATGTTTCTTTCATATCCCCCCTGTCTCGTCTTTTCTCCAAGCTTTATTTTAAAACAAATTTATTTTAAAGCTACTCGGGGCAATGAAGTTATTATGGATGCTAGGGTGCCATAATGATGACAGTCCTGAAAGGGTTAATGGCAATTTGACACTGCCAAGTCAGTCTTGCTTACCTCAAATGGAGGGAAACCCAATGTGTAGCTCACCTCTTGTTTTAAAATCATGTTGACACAATAAAACAAGCTTTCTTAACCCCTTAAGGACCAAGCTTCTGGAATAAAAGGCAATCATGACATGTCACACACATCATGTGTCCTTAAGGAGTTAAAGGAAGTTTTCTTGTTGCTTGGAGTAACAGAATTTTGAAAACAAGAAGCTTTAAGGAAATCCTCACATTATTAAGTTGAAAGCATTAGCCTTGAAAAAATTAAGGAGGTTTCCAAAGCAAGTCATTCAATAAAATAAATACTATGTGAATACACCAAGAAGTCTTCCAGACGAGAAAAATTAGGTAAATCATACTAACATGGGGCAAAAAAATAAATAAATGACCAACTCATGTATAGTAAGATTATAGCAATTTCCTTTAATTTAGCATTCGGCAAAGAATAATGTGAAAAACTAACCAAAACCCTTCAATCAAATGACCTGTGATGCCAATAAATGTACAAAATAAGAACAATGCACTGATTATCTCAATATTCATTATACTTGTATATGAATGCATGTCAGATGGTTCAAATTCCTTTTAATCTAGGCCTGAAACAATTCAACGAGTAAGAAGCCACACGTAAATCCCGCACAATTTGTTCAGGTGTAGGTTATGATTGATGTTCTTTCTGATGGAAGTAATCCATCAGTTCTGCTAAAATCCGGTTTCCCTTTATTAAGAGTGGTAAAATAGATTTTGTAGTATTTGCCACCTTCAACCATTTTCCAGAATACATCTTTATACTTTTTTTTTTTTTGTATTCATTCTAAGGACCAGGGTAAAGAATCAGTAGACACAGCATATCCGAATGTAGAGCGAACCTTTCAGGAACAATTCATGGAGAATGACTGAACATAACTTTATCTCCATGAAACATTAAAAGTATTTCATATAGACGATTTGCCATTTTCAAAAGCGACCAAACATTACTTAATACGACAATGTAATGAAGGGGGCCACTGCAGTCATTCAAAACGAAGGTAGGATTTGATAATGTACAGATAGCCTTGAGTCTCTGAATTTAAGACTTCAGCTTAATTACGGTCACCGATAATACTGCCAAAGCCTTTATGTATAAAATAAAGGCCCAAACAAAGCTTTGCTGACACAGGTGCATCTGATCTCAGTGTGAACAATTTGTAAAAGGTATAACTCAGCAGATACTAACCTTTGACATTTCAGCATTTGCAGCTTCTGAAACCAAGAACTGTCTGAGTCAATCCTAGCATTGTTTTTAAATGGGATTGGGCAGATCCCATAGTTCCTATACAACAATGGCGACTTCTTTCTTTCAGGCAAATTCAACATCTATTCTAGCTCTAGTCGGAATAATACGTTTCCCTGAAAGAGTATTCTAAGTTGGTTACACACACACACAATTGTGAACACGGACTGTAGCAACTCACAGGAAGAACGCAAGAAAAACACCAAAACAAACTAGTTGCAATTAAAATGAAATGTGAGGGCGCAGAGCCTATTGAACCTATTTTGGGAAATGGCACTGGTGTGTCGGGGGTTTATTCACTAAACACAGAGTTGCAAACATTTTTCCATGGTATTACAGAGTTCTATTCAGATAGGTTGCATACATTTTGTAATTTCACAACAAATCAGGTGTTTAGTGTATAAACGGTCACAATGTTAGCACTCTATTGGTACTCTGCTCTAAGCTGGGATGCTCTAGATGTCCCCCTCACCTCAAACGCTATTGAAGCCCTTACTAAACATTGCAGTGGAGACAATTAACATAATCCCATGTTGCACTGAGCACACTATCTTCATATGAAAAGTTAATTTGCAACAATGTATTTGGTCATATATAGGACCACCTATAAATAAAGGTTTGCAATTTCACCATTTAAACCCGTAAAGGGACACCGTAGTCACCAAAACAACTTTAGCTTAAATGATCACTATAGGGTCAGGAACAAACGTATTCCTGAACCTATACGGTTAAAACCACCATCTAGCCCGCCTGGGCCCCTCATGCCTCTTAAAATATAGCAAAATCTTACTGTATTCAAGCCTGAAGCTGTAGATCCGCATGCTGTTTGCCTCAAAAAACAAGCAGTCTGCTGACATCATCAGAAGTGGTGGTCTGATCCAGTCACAATGCTTCCCCATAGGATTGGCTGAGACTGACAAAGAGGCAGATAAGGGGCAGAGCCAGCATGAATCAAACACAGCCCTGGCCAATCAGCATCTCCTCATAGAGATGAATTGAATCAATGAATCTCTATAAGGAAAGTTCAGTGTCTGCATGCAGAGGGAGGAGATACTGAATGTTTGGATGCATTTTAGGCAGCCAGGACCCAGGAAGGATCTCTAACAGGGAAGTGTGAAGGAGTGGCCAGTGAAGTTATCACTAGGCTGTAATGTAAACACTGCATTTTTTCTGAAAAGACAGTGTTTACATCAAAAAGCCTGAAGGTAATGATTCTGCTCGCCAGAACAAATACAATAAACTGTAGTTGTTCTGGTGACTATAGTGTCCCTTTAATTTACCAGTTATGGTGTATAGATCATGTCCCTGCAACCTCACTGCTCAATCCTCTGCCATTTAGGAGTTAAATCCCTTTGTTTATGAACCCTAGTCACACCTCCCTGCATGTGACTTGCACAGCCTTCCTTAACACTTCATGTAAAGAGTCATCTCATCTTTTTCCTTCCTTTATTGCAAGTTTTATTTAATTTAGATTTTCTTATCCCTCGCTATTTTAATAGCCTGCTAGACCCTGCAAGAGTCTGCTGTATGTGATTAAAGTTCAGTTTACAGAGCAAGAGAAAATTGTTTTTTTTCCATGCAGACTGTCAGTCACAGCCAGGGGAGGTGTGGCTAGGACTGCATAAACAGAAACAAAGTGATTTAACTCCTAAATGGCAGAGAATTTAGCAGTAAAACCAGAGATGCATGATCTACACACTAAAACAGCTTCATTAAGCTAAAAAGTTATTTAGGTGGCTATAGTGTTCCTTTAAGGCGGCACTGTCACACTGAACTTACCTTTCGCCTATTGTTTTCTCTACTCTTCCGCTCTCAGAATCAGTTCTCCAGTTAGTTCTTCATTTAGTTTTCTTTAAAACAAAATAAGGAGTAAGGACTACTTTGTCTTATGTCTTTTTCCTACGCCTGACATTGTCTGACACAAGGGGGAGCTTAAGTTAGTTCCACTACCTGTCAGAGAAAGTTTTCCCTCAATACGTAAATGGAGCTGACCTAAGCTCCTCCTTGTGTCAGGGAATGTCAGGCGTAGGAAAAAGACATAAGACATAGTAGTCCCTAATTTGTCTTCCGTTTTAAAGAAAACGAGACCAGAAAGGAAGAAAAGATGATGCTGAGAGAGGAAGAGAAATAGTAGTTTGGCATGACAGTGCCACTTTAACCAGTAACTGCAATGCTTCCATCTATAGCCATTTAAAGAAGTTACCCTCACCTTTTTATAATGCAAAGGAGGCGTGCAGAGATAAACGTTGCCCTGCAGTAGTTCTGAGCAACTGGCGCGGCTACCTGACCATATTGCACATATTTTTCCATGTTTCCATCTGACCTTCACAGGCTAAAAGCTTGGGATCATTGGGTTAATGAAAGTATGTTTGATGCAAATAAACAGCAGTGCCTAACCTTTACGTTAACTTTAGCAGAGCCGATCGTGAATTTCAGGCAATAATGAGACTTGTGATACAGATATTTTGTACATTTACCTTTTTTTTTTTGTTTAAATGTTTCTACACAATAATGCAGAGTTAAGTAAATGTGTAATGTGTATATAAAGAATGCAGAGTGTGTGTATATGTGTTATGTGTATATAATGTAGAGGATGTGTGGTAATGTGTATATAATGGATGCAGAGGGTGTGTGTAATGTGTATATAATGAATGCAGAGTGTGTGTGTGTAATGTGTATATAATGAATGCAGAGTGTGTGTGTGTAATGTGTATATAATGAATGCAGAGTGTGTGTGTGTAATGTGTATATAATGAATGCAGAGTGTGTGTGTGTGTAATGTGTATATAATGAATGCAGAGTGTGTGTGTGTGTAATGTGTATATAATGAATGCAGAGTGTGTGTGTGTGTAATGTGTATATAATGAATGCAGAGTGTGTGTGTGTAATGTGTATATAATGAATGCAGAGTGTGTGTGTAATGTGAATGCAGAGTGTGTGTGTGTGTAATGAATGCAGAGTAATATATATGAATGCAGAGTGTGTGTGTGTAATGTGAGTGTGTGTAATGTGAATGCAGAGTGTGTGTGTGTAATGTGTATATAATGAATGCAGAGTGTGTGTGTGTAATGTGTATATAATGAATGCAGAGTGTGTGTGTGTAATGTGTATATAATGAATGCAGAGTGTGTGTGTGTGTAATGTGTATATAATGAATGCAGAGTGTGTGTGTGTAATGTGTATATAATGAATGCAGAGTGTGTGTAATGTGTATATAATGAATGCAGAGTGTGTGTGTAATGTGTATATAATGAATGCAGAGTGTGTGTGTAATGTGTATATAATGAATGCAGAGTGTGTGTGTAATGTGTATATAATGAATGCAGAGTGTGTGTGTAATGTGTATATAATGAATGCAGAGGGTGTGTAATGTGTATATAATGAATGCAGAGTGTGTGTAATGTGTATATAATGAATGCAGAGTGTGTGTAATGTGTATATAATGAATGCAGAGTGTGTGTAAATATTATTTTTTTAATGATGTTTTAGTCCCCCCTCCATGCTTCTTACCTGGCCAGGGAGGGAGGGTGAATATTGCGTGGAAAGTGCAGAGGGGGGCCAGCACACTCTTACTTCCCTTCCCAGCAGCTCCCTTCAGCTCCCCTGTCTAACTCTCGCGGCCGTTGTGCCGCACGGAACTTTGCCATGGTAGCCCATGGCAATGCTCTAACAGCCGCAGGACTCGCGAGAGTTAGACAGGGGAGCTGATGGGAAAGCAAGTAAGAGTGCGCTGGGCCCCCTCAGCACCCAGATATCGTCTTTATTGGCCGATACCGATATTGCTGAAAATACAGAATATCGGCCAGACCGATAATCGGTCGATCCCTATTTTAGACTGTGCTTTTATCTCTGAAGTGAGAGGTCCCTTTTATGTAATATGGGTGTTTATGTACTAGCTGTGTTTTAACTAAATCCTGAAATTTAGTATGTTAAAAATGGAAAGAGAAAAATGGCACAATCGTGACTATAGCCAAGTAGACTTTCAAGATTAGCTGTTTTTGCCATTTCAATTTAAATTCACAGCAATTTGGATTTAAAGTGGCACTGTCAGCCCCTGAAAGTGAGCATTTCATATAGATCAAATCTTTATAAAAAAAAAAAAAAAAAAATATTCCTTTTGACTGTGTTGGAATTTCTCTGAAAGAGGTCCACAGAGAAAAGGTAGGGACTACATTGTCGTTTTAATTTTCTCCACCAGAGACTTTCTTAGACACTGGGCGGAGCTACAGAGTCAATCCAGACAGTCATCACCAGTGATGGCTGCAGGGAATTGGCTCTGTGTGTCTCTGTGGAAGATTAAAGAGGGACAGAAGGAAGAAGATGGCAGTGCCTGTGAGAGACAGGTTCAGGTAAGTATATCTCACCTTTACCTGCCTCCCTTCGGCCAGCAGCGATGTCACCTTTGGGAAGGGGGGTTGGGGCGGGATCTTTGCAAACCTGCCAAAGTCCCCAAACTACGACAGTGCTGTTTTCAGTGTATAACACTATAAATAAAAATTAAGTGAAAAATCTAATTGCAGATTTTGGATAGCATTAATGTACAATAAACAATAGCACATAAATTGTCCTATTCAGCTAGTTTTGTCAAATAGTTTCTTAGCTGCCCATTTATTGAATAAACCCCAAGGTTTGAGAGAGGTTGGGGTCTGTTCAATGTCATGTGTCTCCTGATGCGTTGTATGAAAGCACAGGTAGTGGAGTCAATTTATTGAACGTAGTAAGTTTTATGGTCATTTATTAAAAGGAAAAAAAAATGCAGTATTTTTGTTGAATACATTAAAAATTTGTGTTCAAAATAAAAATCGAACACAAAAAAAGTTTTACAATAACACTGGATGGTTCACAGTCATATAAAGAAGGCTGGCACAGAAAGCAAATAACAGACCGACAGCTGGATCAGCTACATGAGATGGAAAACAAATTAAAATACACATGGCACAGCAAAAGGACAGCACAATGCAGCCGCAGTTAATATCACAGGGTTAACAGCAGCTGCTCTAACAGACACACTCATTGTCCAACTGGAAGGCAGAGAGTGACATCTGATTTCTGCTCTAAACTGAATGGTCTGTTTACCAGGAATGTCCAACGACACACGGCACCCCACAATTATGTCGCAGGTGTCATGCGGGTCCAAAGATGCCAATATTTGGGAACTTTTACATTTGCTAGCTCTTTGGTCAGATTTTCTTTTCAACTACAGAGATATTTAAAGACAGCGACAATGCTTATTTAGAGCACTACATGCAACCTGGAGCTACCCAGCTCCTGGGCCATAGAAGGACAAACTTACCTTTTAATTCCCTCATCTTTAAAGCCTGCATAGAGAAATATTCTCTCTGTGTAGTTTTGTGACTAAAGTGTCCCTTTAATGTAGTTATGGGGTCTATAGCCTGTCCCTGCAGGTTTTTTTGCAATGGAAACACTGCCTGTTCAGAGAAAAAGCAGTGTTTACACTACTGCCTAGGAGCACCTCTAGAAGCAGTCACTCAGACGACCACTAGAAGAGCTTCTTGGGTCCGTGCTACACAGTGTGTAGCACAGGCATTCAGCATTTCCACGATCTGCATGCAGATGCTAAACGCACCCTATAAAGATGCACTGATTCAATGCATCTATAAGGAGATGCTGACTGGCGCAGAGTGGCATTTTGCAGCACATGCAAGTTAGGTTCCTATGGGAAAGCATTGGGTTATCAGAGATCATCAAGTCTGATGACCTCAGCCAAGGAGGCAGAGCCGGGCGGGGCCAGCCGCAACACTAGTGTGGTGCTGCCGCCTTAAATAAAGGAGGTTGTGGACCTAATTTGGAATAGCCTCATGCGGCTCCAGGAGGAGACAGTTTTTGTTCCCTGTTAAGCAACAGAAGCCTTAGCTTAAAAGTAAGAGATTCAAGAACTGACCAACCAGTGCATGCAGCTGATCACCTGTGAGACAAATAGGGAAGAACAGGATTTGCACAGAACTGTTCATTTATCCACTCTTCAATAGCAAAATTAAGTAACTAAAATACACCAGACAACTAAGAAATCTAAAAAGGTATGTCATACAATTAAAAAAAAATAAAAAAAAAAAAAAACACTTTCCTTCATAAAGAGAAAGTTTGAAACTACTGGACAATAGAAAACTCAGCCATTTCCTGTTGTCTGCATAAGCTGCATATGTCCAGTCATCCAGTGCTGATCATTTTATTTAAAAAAGGGAGGTATGTAACCGCAGCCCAGTGAGAAGAGTAGGGATGTTCTACATACGTCTCATTCCGTGGTCTCCATATACATGATATTAGGACGTAGTGCCCCCTTTGAAATCTGTCATACACAGCACATAGATTAAATAAATATATATCAAAATTACAAACTACACAATAAGTTTCATGCTACACACCGGCCACATGTTTTCACTTTTTTGTGCTCTTCATACAGATAATTCAAATGTTAGATCAAACACAAAAACAAAAACAGAAAAAAATCAATAAAAATAAATAAAATAATAATAATAAAAAAAAAAAAAAAAATTAGTTTTAGTGAGTTACAATTAAAAACCAAGAATTTGCATACCGGTATTGGTGAAGCTATCAGTCATGTAGAAGTTCTCCATAACACTTTCAATCATGATAAATATAGCACCTTTTTCCAACCACAACTTAAAGGTTTCCCCTATGGAAACTTTAGAATGATTGAGAATGGAAAAAATAAAAAGTCTTAGTAGTGATGCACACAATAGAAACTAACCTCCTCTACTCAAGTGATTTAAAGGACCAGTATAGGACCACTAACTCGTTTTCCTGGCACTATAGTGTTAATAGGTTCCCCCCCCCCCCACCCTCATAGCCCCCCTCCCGCCAGGCTCTAGGGAGAGGAATGTGTTAAACACTTACATTTCTCCAGCGCCTGGCTCCCTCTGCGCTGGGGACTCTCCATCTTCCGGCGAATGAGCATGCGCGGCAAGAGCCACGCGCACAGTCAGTACATAGGAAAGCATTCTCAATGCTTTCCTATGGACACTAGCGTCTTCTTACTGTCAAAATCACAGTGAGAAGCGCAGAAGCGCCTCTAGCGGCGGTCAATGAGACAGCAACTAGAGGCTGGATTAACCCTAATGTAAACATAGCAGTTTCTCTGAAACTGGCAGAGTTAACCCTAGATGGACCTGGCACCCAGACCACTTCATTAAGCTAATGTGGTCTGGGTGCCTATAGTGGTCCTTTAACCACATATAAAAACACTTTTCATGATCTTAGTGAAAAAACTGATCTGTCAATTATAGTAGTGTTAATAACCAAAAAAAAAAAAAAAATTAAACTATGTTGATTAAGGTAGGATAGAACACAGACACCTATTAATGATCATCATGAACCAGAACACTGGTCACATATGTAGTACTAGCCATATGTCTTCAGGTACTTTGATGGAAGCATTTTATAGCTAAATATGTAGACTTCTACTGGCACATAAATGGCTTAAAAAAAAAAAAAAAATTAAATATAAAATCCCACCAGCCTAAAACACACTGCTTTTATAAATGGACAAGATGTGCACAGTGTCACATAACAATAATAACAAAATTAGAAATTATATAAACATTCTAGCATTTCCTAAAACCACCTTAATATTCAAGTGCAAGAATTGCATACCGACATCCAATGGTACATTTAGCATATGTAAAAGCAGTAACCCTCTTTTTTATTAAGTCAATGGCTCTACACTATGTCTTAAAAGTAACTAGAGGAATGAACTCTTAACAGAAGCATGGAGAGGAGAGAAGACGATGAGGAACGGAGAAAGACAGATGCAGATTGAACGGCTGAAAACGGGGACGAGGATATTCTGGGTCCCAGGATTCACGGTTCTGGTTCTGACCTTCTCAGCTGTTTTTTCTTGTGAACCTTGTATGTTGTCATAGAAGATATGCAGCAGGCCAGACAGCACAAGGACGTGACGCCAAGACGAGCAGAATCCAGGGTGGGAAATTCAGTCAGAAGATATCGCTGGATTAGGTAGACAGAGGCGACCATCATCCACAGAAATGTGGCAAGAGCATCAATTCGGCGCAGCCTAGAGCAATATAAAAGTAACTTTAATTAAACCCAAAAAACATACAACATCGTAATGCTTAAAGATACCAAAAATGATGGATTTTGTTTTATTTTTTTAATGCACAGTAGGATTACTGTGGAGGAATTTGGCAGTTCTGTATTGCAGGATTGGGGAGCTCCAAGATTAAATCAAATGGAGCAAGTGCTTTCTCTTCCTGCTTGTATTATAAAAAAATGAAAACTATAACGTGACAACACTAAAGAAATGACACTCTGCTACAATGTAAAGTAGTAAGTGTACAGCCTGTATAACAATGTAAATTTTCTGTCCCCTCAAAATAACAACACAGCCATTAATGTCTAAACCGTTGGCAACAAAAGTAAGTACACCCCCCTAAGTGGAAATGTCCACATTTGGCCCAATTGGCCATTTTCCCTCCCTGGTGTCATGTTACTCGTTAGTGTTACAAGGTCTCAGGTATGAATGGGGAGCAGGTGTGTTAAATTTGGTGTTATCGCTCTCGCACTGGTAGTTTAACATGGCACCTCATGGCAAAGAACTCTCAGAGGATCTTGAAAAAAATAAATAAATAAATTGTTGCTCTACATAAAGATGGCCTAGTCTATAAGAAGATTGCCAAGACCCTGAAACTGAGCTGCAGCACGGCGGGCAAGACCATACAGCGGTTTCACAGGACAGGTTCCACTCAGAACAGGTCTCGTCATGGTCGGGGAAATAGACGTAAGAGTGCTGCCAGCATTGCTGCAGAGGTTGAAGGGGTGGGGGGGGGGGTCAGCCTGTCAGTGCTCAGACCATACACCGCACACTGCATCAAATTGATCTGCATGGCTGTCGTCCCAGAAGGTAACCTCTACTAAATATGATGAACAAAAAAAAGCCCGCAAACAGTTTGCTGAAAACAAGCAGACTAAGGACATGGCTTACTGGAACCATGTCTTGTGGTCCGATGAGACCAAGATAATCTTATTTGGTTCAGATGGTGTCAAGCGTGTGTGGTGACCACACCAGGTGAGGACTACAAAGACAAGTGTGTCTTGCCTAAAGTCAAGAATGGTGGTGGAGTGTCATGGTCTGGGCTTACATGAGTGCTGCCAGCACTGGGGAGCTAAGGTTCATTGAGGGAGCCATGAATGCCAACATGTACTGTGACATACTGAAGCAGAGCATGATCCCCTCTCTTCGGAGACTGGGTCGCAAGGGAGCATTCCAACATGATAACGACCCCAAACACACGTCCAAGACGAGCACGGCCTTGCTAAAGAAGCTGAAGGTAAAGGTGATGGACATGCCAAGCAAGTCTCCAGACCTAAACCCTATTGAGCATGTGTGGGGCATCCTCAAACAGAAGGTGGGGGAATGCAAGGCCTCCAACATCCACCAGCTCCGTGATGTTGTCATGGAGTGGAAGAGGACTCCAGTGGCATCCTGTGAAGCTCTGGTGAACTCCATGCCCATGAGGGTTAACGCATTGCTGGAAAATAATGGTGGCCACACAAAATATTGATACTTTGGGCACAATTTGGACATTTCCACTTAAGGGTGTACTAACTCACTTTTGTTGCCAATGATTTAGACATTAATGTGTTAAGTTATTTTGAGGGGACAGCAAATTTACACTGTTATACAGGTTGTACACTTACTACTTTACATGGAAGCAGAGTCATTTCTTCCGTGTTGTCACATGAAAAGATATAAAATATTTACAAAAAATATTCACTTTTGTGGAATACTGAAATTGTAAGAGGAAGCATCAGTATTGGCTGTTAGGAAGACCTACAATGTAGACATTGCCATATCTACTACAAGAGCATTACCAAAGCAGCAGGGTCACTGCACACAGACCACGTCATTATGATGAAGTGGTCTGGATGCTTCTAGTGATCCTTTAAATCCAAACCTCAGCAAAACCATTAGGTATGCAACTACAAATGTGAGTTTATTAGAAATTTAGGTAGCTGATGTGTGATGACTATGTTGCAGAAATAGAGATGACCTGATATAAATTGCTGGTAACTGCATTCTACAGCAATACACATGGGCTTATTTACTAAACTACAATGAATGGAAAATGGATATGAAACATTTAGACAAGAATAGACAATTTGGACAAAAAAAAAAATTCTAACTATGCAATTTTTTATTTTAGCTATTTAATTTTGGAATTTTATTTTTAGTTGGCCACAATCCATTTTTCTTGTTCTTCATAATCGTAAAAATATCAGTTACACAATCAATACATTTTCTCTGATTTTATCTGGAGGGATCAAACTATTTCACGGGTCCCTAAACATGTTCATCTTTTAAGACAGTCCAATTTGCAATTCCAGCAAATTAATATGTGAGATAATGCCTAAATTACAAAATAACAACTTCAGCATTTCTTTATACTCCATACACTAGTTTTTTTAAAAGGAACCTACAAAAAAAAATAAAATAAAGTGTTTACATGAATTAGTTAAAGGACCACTATAGGCACCCAGACCACTTTAGCTCAGTGAAGTGGTCTGGGTGCCAGGTCCATCTAAGGTTAACCCTGCAGCTGTAAACTTAGCAGTTTCAGAAAAACTGCAATATTTACATTAGGGTTAATCCAACCTCTAGTGGCTGTTTCATTGACAGCCGCTAGATGCGCTTCTCACTGATTTTCACAGTGAGAAGATGCTGACGTCCATAGGAAAGCATTGAGAAATGCTTTCCTATAAACCGATTGAATGCGCGTGCGCATTCAACGCCGACGTCGGAAGAGGGAGGAGATTTCCCCAGCGCTGAGGGAGTCGGGCACTGGAGAAAGGTAAGTGATTAACCCCCTTCCTGCCCGTTCAGCCCGGCGGGATTGGGACCCTGAGGGTGGGGGGATCCTAAAGACCCTAGAGTGCCAGGAAACAAGAGTTTGTTTGCCTGGCACTATAGTGGTGCTTTAAGTATCCTGAATAATCCAATACCATTACCTTCCCCTCCCTAGCACTCTTCAGCATGCAAAAAAAAATTGGTTTATGAACACTAACCTGATGGGACCGGCTGAGACAAAAGCCAAAATGGAGGCACATGTTCCAAGTAATGCCACTTCCATCGGGTGAGTCTGGCCATAGCACCATGCCTCATTCAGTATTTTAGCAGTTTTCAATATTGCCATCCAGAAGCCATTAAGTCTGTCATCAGATGAAAAAGTCAACAATGGACTTTGAATTGGTTCTTCAGAAATCTTTGTGTTTTCCGTGGAGAAGATGAACAGGTCGCCAGGGCCAAAGACATTCAGCCACAGCAGGAATAGGCAACTTAAGAAGGTGAATATGCGAAGTATGAGGATATGCATTGGAACTTGGCAGGATAAGGAAGGTCCAAAACCCTGCAGCATTAAGAAGACACATTTTAAGTACATTTTTATTTTTTAATTACACTACATTTTATTTTGTTCTGGCAGTTAAGACATGTAGTGTACATATTTAACCCATTAGTGCAGTCAAATTTGAAGACAAAGCATGTCATAGGATGGATGCACTTGTACAGACCATGTCACACAATTGACAGAAGAAACCTGGAGCATTATGGGACTTTATTATGTCCCATGGAGGGAAGTACAGTGGAGAATAAACATTTTATACTCCACTCTGCTGTACTTGTCATTCTATTAGACTGTGCAAGAGAGTTTACTGGTTTGAAGGATCTGCGGATCTATACCATCCCCCCTCGCCCCCCCAAAAAACACAACTATAGTGTAACACACCAAACAAATAAGAATAAATTGTTTTATTCCACGGTCTACAAACCTCACTATTTCTAGACATGAGCATTAGGGGCCCCAGTTTGAATGGTGTTCTAAATCAGAGTGCTAATTTCATAAAGTGCAAAACAACTTTAGCTTAAGTTGTCTTAGTGTCTAGCTCATGTCTCCTCAGTCTCACTGCTTAGTTCTCAGCCATTTAAGAGTTCAACCACTGTTTAGGTAGCACTTGACACACCTCTGTGGGGAGGTTTAACAAATGTGTTTGTTCAATAAATAGAGCAAAAAACAAGTCGCAAGAGAGTGCCGAGAACGGACAAAGACAGGTTTTAGCTCATCTTGTGCCATTAAAGAGAGAACAAGGTCATGCTTATCAGCCTGATTCCACCCAAAAGGGCAGAACAGATTCAAAATACAGGCCCGCTCTCTCTGCACGAGAGATACAGCAACACCAGACAGACAATCGTTTCAACCTTGTTAGGCATCATCAGTGAGGTATAGCAAATACCCCTCCAGGCACCGTGAGCAAGGGGTCCACGTCTGGATTACCATTTAAATTTAAGGAGAGCAAAAAACAAGTCGCGAGAGAGTGCTGATAATGGACAACCGCTCAATTTCTTTTTTGCTCTCCATAAGTTTAAAGGGTAATCCAGACATGGACCCCTTGCTCACGGTGCTTGGGAGATATCAGCTATGCCTCACTGATGATGCCTAACAAGGCTGAAACAATTGTCTGGGGTTGCTGTCTCTCTCGTGCAGAGGGAACGTGCTGGCATTCCAGATCTGGACTGCCCGTATGGGTGGGACCAGTCTGATATGCTTCAGATATGTTCTCTCTGTAATGGCACAAGATGAGCTAAAACCAGCTTCAGATCTGAGCGGGGACCCACCGAAGGGCAGGCTATTTCAGCTGATGTCCGTTCTCAGTATACTCTTGCGCTTTTTTTTTGCTCTCAATAAATAGAGCAGGAGACGAGAACAAGAACTTGTAATGACATAGGAGGCTGTTGTAGGCTCTTGACAGCTAACAACTCCTAAATTAAACATGCTGTGCAACAAAAGGAAGCTAAAATATGTGTGCTCTTTTTCCGGAAGTGTGTAGGGAGGCTGTGTAAGTCAGTCACATGCAGGGGAGGTGTGGCTAGGGCTGCACAAAAAGTGATTTTCCTCTAAATGGCAAATAATTGGGCAGTGAGACTGCAAGGATATGCTCAATACACAAAACCACTTTATTAAGTTGTTTTGGTGATTCAAGTGTACCCTAAAAGGGTTTTTCCAAGCACCATCATTTATGTTATTAAGGAGACTCAGTGCCTGGCAGGAATGACGTAAGAGGGCCAACCATTGCAAAAATGCTTGCCCCAGTACCGAGAAATGGGGCCCATCAAAACCCCAACAGACGGTGGTTAAGATGGCTGGAATCACGATTTAAGCTGGATATGATGATATAAATGAAAGTATTGTAATGCATACACAGCAGGATTGCACAAAAGGGGGCAAGTAAGCAATTTACATAAGTATTTTTCAACAAGTTATATTGTATTAAAATACAATTTTAGGAATATTTTTCTGCTCATTTGATGCGATGAATGATTGCTGATCGAATCAAGAACATCTTGAAAATGTATTTCCCTTGTTATTGGGCATGTGCAATACTGGATGTGTACTATAACACTTTATTTGTGTTCTGTCACTACATGTGCTTAGGTTTTCTCACCATGCAAAACACAATACATAACTGCACCCTTATCTTGGTGCTGGTTTTACAGAGGTTGCAGCAATATGACAGCAAACCAGTTATTTTTATTGCATTTACTTACTAAATACTGAATTGTAATGATATTCAGAGCTAAAATAATCAATATTTGAATATAGCAGAGTTGGAAAATTTCCAAATCTGCTATTTTCACCTAAATTGTGCAACTGTTCTCTAATCGCTACAATTCAGTATTTTGTGAACATACCCCAAAATATCAGAAAGAGACAAGCAGCCAGTTCTGATATCGAGTTGCAGCTACCATGATCTTCTCATTGCTCACCTTAATATGGTATTTATCTGTTTCCCTGTGTTTCAGATGCTGGTTCAGCATATGAGCTCTCAGCTGCCGGTTCTGGTGTTTGATGTAGCATTCTACGGCAGCCTGGCATGGGCGGCACAGTTTGTATGTCTGCTCCAAGTGATGTTTATATACCTCAATTTCCTCATCGTATCGGTTCTAAGGGACAAGTGTAAACCGGATTAAACAGAAGTCAGAGTGTCTCCCAAACAGCAGAAGTAGATGTCGCTTTCCCACCTTTCTCTACTAAATGCTTTGATTAGTCACTAAACTCTGGAGGCGGATTTGTATAATTACTGGAATAAACTATAGCCCGTATTAAAAAGGTACAAAGAATTTTATTCTTCCTAATAAGATACTCCTTACTGCTCCACTGTAACCACAGTAGTGACAGTGGTGGCCTAGTCAGATACATAACAAAACACATTTAAATAAATATGATCTATGCTTCTACAGCAAGAGACCCCATTAAACTATTCAATACAGTATCCAAACTATGGTCTTCCTTACCACTGCATCGAATGCCATGAACAGCGTGCAATATAAAACTTCTGGTAAAATTCATATTGCATTAAACACACCACCTTCACACATTCATACTCCTTACCAGATAAACACAGGTTAGTTGAGTACTAAGCCATTGCAACTTGATACTTACATCATCCCTTGGTACAAAAGATGCCAGTTGCTTAATTATGGTGTTTTGATTGACATTGCATTTTTTGCAAAGCAGAGTCTGGCAGTTTACCCACTGTTGGGGTTTAATGACATCAGGTAGGTGGCTTCCTCCAGACACTACATGATTCAGATGTTCATGGTGCTGGGCAGGAATTGGCTTGTTGTAGTCTCCATTCTGCAAAAAAAAGAGTAACATTCATGTAAACATTTCTAAAAATGAGCATGGAACAAAGATTTCACTTTAGCACACAGAGAAGATCGCTGGTAAAACACAAAGAAGGTTTAACTAGCTAAAACAGCATGTATTGATTTATCAGAGGTATACGAGGCGTATAATATGCCCATACAAGTTAGAAATTCATTGAGGGAGAGAGTGGAGGAAAATAAATAAACAAAATGTAATCAAAACATTGTCCTAAAGTATACCAATAAAGCAGATGCAGGCTTGGATAACAGACGACAAAAAATGGGAGTGAAAAAAAAAAAAAAAAAACACTTGAAATCCATTTTTCTCTAAAAGATCTTTGCAGGTTTCTTTTAATTTGAGTACAGTAGAATGCTTGCTAATTTGACAAGTGCTTAAAAAAATCCAGACTAATTATTACCCAAACTCTGTCCCGTCAAGCTTACCTCCTTGAAGCCGTTGTACTGTTCACAGCTGGGGCAATCCCAGCAGTTTCTGTTACCATAAGGTACAAAAGTGTCCTGATTGCAAAACCAGCAGTTGACCTTCACGTGACTAGGACGTTTTCTAGTGGAGAAAGAAGACATATTAATCACTATGTTATAAGGACATACATGCTGTAACATACTGCATAGAAATTGTGAGCTAATCGCATGATACCAGGAGAAATTAGTTGACTGAAATTAGATTGAATTAAAACAAAAACTATCTACATACGAGAGAATGGAATTGGTCAACACTACAGATTTAAGAGAAAACCTACTAAAAAGGACACTCCGGGCTTAGTTGCCAACATCTCTTGATAATTGTGTAGAGTTTGATCAATTAGGCTACCCAAACAAAGTGCTTTGGAATTGTAAGAGGGGCACCTCTTGTGTGCATACACTGTGAGATACTGTTCATCCCAATGTATGTATGTTTTGGAGGAACAAAATCTATCCAAAAGATACTTTTCTCTTTAAGATACATTAATGTCAAATGTTGTTCAGTATGGAACAGATATGCAGCAGGAGACTATTTTCGTGCAATATATATATTTTTTTTTTTAGTAAATGTATAACTTGGATTAAAGGTAAACTTGTGTTTGCAGAGATAATATACATAGTTTCACAGAAAATGGTTATAAAATAAACACAAAGTTCTGGAAAAGACCTTCATCCTACATATACTCTGCAAATCTACATAGACACACAATGAACACCTTTCATTTAAATAGTTACTCCAGGCACCATAACCCCTTTAGTGGTTAAAAGTATTTCGCTTCTAAACTCTGCACATACAGAGCTTAGGGGTGTCAACAAACACCCTGGAACTAGAGCCCTGAGCTCACCAATATCAGATCTGTGAAAATGTCAGTGCAATTCATTGACTAAAAAGGTAGTCAAGTGATGTGCTCAGTCAATGAATGCAGGACCCGCATTGAGCTCGTGCATCTCAGCAGAAGCTGAATGCTGTATATCCTACTTCAGAGGAGACCTGGCAGGTAAGAAGGTAAACTGTTGTAAAACAATTTGTGCCATTAACAGGGTGCGGCGCCGGGTACTCTTAACATCATAACCACTACAGCAACTTGGTCATGACGGCTGAAGTTACACCAAGTTGTTCTCCAAATAGGAGAGATTAACCTAGTAAACTGGAGATAGTTCACCGAGCACGAATTTCCCTATTATCTATGTATTTATAATGGAATATAACAAAATCGAATATAACTGTAAAACTGATCAGAAAAGTGATCATTCTAAATATGAAATCTCGATTTGGTTGCAAATATTAAAGATTTTAACAACCCCCCCCAAAAAAAAAAAAAAACATGTGATGTCAATGAAATCCACACCACTACAGCTTAGCTGTAATAAATCTAGAGAAGCCAGCTGTGTCAGTGTGATCACAGGAAGGTGACGGATGTTACAGTCATAAACCAATCTGCTTCTTGTCAAGTAAATTACAATTTTCTTGTTACAGCTCTCCATTCAGTATCATGTTTAGAATAATCCCACAGTCAGTTACAGTTGCCCCTTTTTAATCCCTGGGACAGGAGGCCTTTCAAAACAGATTCACACTGTACACAAGCCACTCTTTCAGACTGTTAAAACCCCACAAATGGCTAATCACTGCAGTATGCACGAGCAGTGGCAAGAACAGACCTTAGGGATTCATTCCTTCAGACATAACAAAATCACAATACATCCTTGGTTAACAGGGCCAGTCCTCAAGTGTCACTAATACCAGGCTTGCAACACACAACACATGGCACACACTTGATTATTCAATGTTTATTGTTATTTAAATAAAGAAATTTGTTTTGCCCCGTAATCTTACCCTCTTATCCCTATTTTCACCAGCCCACAGGAGTTTGTCTTTATTCGATAAATGCAGATGTACATTTTTTTATGGGAGTTTTATTCAAAGGAACACTTTAGGCACAGAAATAACTTAAACTCAATGAAGTTGTTATGGAGCTTGTCGTGGGGGCAGCCTCTTCCGAATCTGTCTAACCGTTATCTTACCGTTTCACAAGGATGCAGGGTCATCAGTGCTTAGTCCAAACCCCAATGATTGCACAGCAAAGAAGGAGAGTAGCGCCAACTTTCAAGGCTCTCAGAATAACACTGAGGGGTATGGCGTAAGGCAGGGCAAAACCGCAACATCTCCATACAGTCATTGGGGGCAAGGCTGCGAGCAACAAGAGAAGCTACATCAATGTGAAATGGTAAGACACTGGTTTGGACCAGGATATGGCGCTTGTGGACTACGGGCACCATAAACACTTGAATTCGCTGGCGTGGTTATGTTGCCTACACAGTGTTGCTTTAAGATTTAACTTTCCAAAATGAACATCGACAACTGAACTTACGCCCATAAAACACTACTAAAAGGATCATCAAATAAAGCAGGACTATAGAATGCTACAAGAGCATACCCCGAGAAGCCAAAGCAAGTTACCGATACTTTGAAAGTATCTTGTAATGCACTAGGTCACAAAGCAAAAACATCCCACATTTAATTATCTCAAATGAACAAAGAGGGACAATTTCATTTTAGCTGTGTGAATGCAGCTGATCAAAGCTGTGATGTATGAGCTCTAGTGATGGCTGGTGTAGACATTTTCCATGAGACTCACCAAGTGTTTAGATTTGCAAAACAGTAGTGCACAACAGCTTGAGTGTAAAGATCTCATTAACGGGAAACTAATCCTATTAGTCTGCCCATGCCTTGACTTTGAAGGCAATGATAGGCTGAGGGTGCTGGGGGTGTTTAGCTCAATGGTTTTAGCCTATCAGTCATCCAGAGGGTAACAGGCAAAAGCAGACATTCACATCTTCATTAGGTAAGCAACAGCTAAATGTCGAGAGAGCCCTGTTATTTGTCAAACCTCTTCAAAATAATTAAGACAAATCTCAAAAATGGCACAAAAGATCATTTTTGCAATAGTACTATTACAATTAGGTTTAAAAATATACATAAGCAAGTCTATGATATATGTTGTGTAATTACAGGGGTTGGTGTGAAAATCTTTAAAGGGACACTAGTCACCCAGACCACTTCAGCTCAATTAAGTGGTCTGGGTGCAATGTCCCTCAGGTTTTAACCCTTCAGATGCAAACATAGCAGATTCAGAGAAACTGCTATGTTTACATTTGGGGTTAAGTCAGCCTCTAGCGGCTGTCTTCCGGACAACCACTAGAGGCGCATCTGCAACGCTAGAGGCTTATTATGCCTCCATCACGCAGAGCGTCCATAGGACAGCATTGAAAAATTCGGCTCTGCTGACGGCGGCGGGGGAGGAGAGGTCACCAGCACCGAGTGAGCCTGGCGCTGGATTAAGGTAAGCTGCTGAAGGGGTATTAACCCCTTCAGCCCCACGGGAGGGGGACCCTGGGGGTGGGGGCACCCTCAACACACTATAGTGTCAGAAAAAAACTATTCATTTTCCTGACACTGCAGTGATCCTTTAAACTACTTCAGAGCTGTTATTAGTGGCGCATTGAGGACTGGCAGTATGAACCAAGGTTGTATAGGGATTTTGTTTTGTCTGAAGGCTTAAGCATGCCGCAGTGATTAGCAGCTCGTGTTGGTCTGTGGGGTTTTAGCAGTCTGAAAGGGTGGCTTGTGTACAGTGTGCATCTGGCATAATTGCTTCATCTTATTTTAAGGAACACTCTGGGCACCAAAACAACTTCATTGGAATTCAATTTATTATGCCTGAAGGTCTCTGCCGCTGGCTTATCTTTAAGGGTTAAATGGTTTACAAATCTCAAAGTCCATGATCCAACACCCATTTGCTCTGTCCCTATCCTTCTGTTGCTGAGAATCTTAAAATACAAAGCCTCACCAAGGGACACCGCTGATTAGTAATCACTAGCTGTTCATTGGCAAAACAGCTTGAGAAAAATGCATATGTTTAGCAATTCCCTTTGTGAATGGGAAGCTACTGATTGGCTTACAATGTCAGCCGAGATTCTCAGCAGCAGAAAGACAGGGTGCAAACAGATCAGGCGCCAGGTAACTTACTTTGGTGGTAAACCGTTTAATCCTTAATAGTACGCCAGTGCCAGGGAATTTCTGGCACTAACAACTTAATTCCAATTAAAGTTATGGTGTCTGTAGTGTTCCTTTAAGTGAGTCCCCTGCCGCCGTCCTTACATTTAGTATATTAAAATATTTTTAGCATGAGCTAATAAGGAAGCATTGGCCACAGCACCAGTAGCAGCTGTGATTGGCTGAGAGTGTGCCCATTGTTGGTATGAGTTGAAGTGCATTTATTATTTTCTTCCCCCCTTGTACAGGTTTAAAATCAATTCGGCAACATCCAGCATACAAAGCTTGCAATTCGCCAGTATAGCAGCAGTCTACGCATTCTGTACTTCAACAAGGCTTGTTAACAAGATTTTTCGCATTCTGTACTTCAACAAGGCTTGTTAACAAGATTTTTGTTAAAATGTTGAAGTACGAAACACGTAGACCGCTGCATCGCAAGCTCTGTATGCTGGATGTTGCAGAATGAATGCTAAACCCGTATGTGGGGAGTAAATGAACATAATTTTTTTTTTAATTATTTGGGGTCAGTACTGTTGCCTTATTGTTCACTTGACATTTGAATTGACAGACTGACACATATTACAGCAATCAGGAGATGGGTGTCAATCACATTTAAAAGGCATCAACATTAACGTTACAAAGTTGACCAGGCAGCCATCAAGCAGTCATTTTACAGATTTTAAATATTGGTATGCCTAGAAGGAAGTGTGCAATCTCTTCCTCAGTCATACTCCTAGTGAGGGCTGAACGGTGGGTGGCCAGGTGCCATTATTTACTGTTAACCTGCTAGAAAGTGGTTTAACACTGAATGGAGAGACAGCATGTGAGGAACTATAAGCAATTCAATAAGATGGAATATTTAGAGTCAATGGTGTCCCCTTAAATCTGTAGTATATTACCAGATTTGTTCACACAGCAGATTACAGTAATGTTGAACAGAAGCTGAAGTGTATGTTAAAGGACCACTATAGGCACCCAAACCACTTCAGCTTAATGAAGTGGTCTGGGTGCCAGGTCCTGCTAGGTTTAACCCACCCCCCCTCTTTTTTTTTTTTTTAAATAAACATAGCAGTTTCAGAGAAACTGCTATGTTTATAATAGGATTAATCCAGCCTCTAGTGGATGTCTCATTGACAGCCGCTAGAGGGCTTCCGCCAACGTCCATAGGAAAGCATTGTGAATGCTTTCCTATGGACTGGCTGAATGCGCGGGGGCTCTTGCCACGCATGCGCATTCATCCGGTGACGGAAGAAGAGGGAGGAGAGCTCCCCGTCCGGCGCTGGAGAAAGAGGTACGTTTAACCCCTTCCTCCCCCCAGAACCCGGCGGGAGGGGGTCCCTGAGGGTGGGGGCACCCTCAAGGCACTATAGTGGTCCTTTAACAATACATTATAAACATTTCCTATCTAATACCAATGATATCCAACATTTAGATTTGACTGAAGAAGCTGGTGCATGTTTCAGCAGTGTCTTATTGCATACACATACCAGTAGTGGATCCTAACCCAGTCCTCACCAAGAGTCTGGGCTTTTTCAGTAACCCCACAGGAACTTAATTTGGGAAATGGCTAAATCCTGGACTGCCGGTGGGTATTGAGGACTGAGCTGGGAACCACCAGATCCAATTTACCACAAAGCCAGAAATGAAAACAGACTATTCTAATATGGAATATAATAAGAGAACCACTCATACAAAGAAGAGAAGGCGAACACCAAGTACTTGCTTAGTTCCCAATACAGGACAGTCCCACAAGAATTTTTAAACATGCGCTACCAGGGACTGTACACATGAGCACCAAGAGAAAGCCTCACATATACATGTATGTGCATAGCATGTCACTTGACTGAACCAACATACAGCAAAGTGCAAACACAAACAACACAAAAACGGGCACTCACCACTACAAATATATAATAAAGTATTTAACCAGGAAAGGTACGTCCTGAGCCCAACATCCAGGGGTTGTTACTATTACCCAATTTAATGGTAAAAGACACGACAGCTGTGTTGATTATGGTAAAAGAAAATATACAAGAGATTTATGGAAGTTCCCAATACACTAAGTCAGTCCCTGTCACTCCAACTTCACTGTAAGGCATCCTTAATATTACATGTTTTACATATTTTTCATTAACGTTTTGTTGCAAAACAGCTGGAAGACAATATTTTGTTTCTTCTGTCTTTCCAGAAACTGGGAAATACAAAAACACCCTAAAAGAATAGAATGTCAAACTAATTTTTCATTACAGTGCTAGGAATGACCATTTATAGCAAGAATTGGCAATAATTCAAGGTGAATTTTACATTTTAGGACAAAATGCTTGAACTGAAAACACAAGTGACTTTGAGCAGTTTGCAGGAGTTTATTCTCTAAACACAAAATCACAGAGAGCTGAATACAGGCTAAAATAAGCAAGCTGTGACTAGAGCACACTGGTCCGAATTTCACCATATTTACCATTTTTGCCTAAATATTGCATTCCATTTTTTGTGTTTCAGCTCACAATAACTCAATGTTTACTAAATAAGATGCACCACGTGTACTGGGGTTCCATGACAATCCGGGGAGACCAGACTTGTTATGTTGCCATGGTAACAAGTGCATCTGTCCATTAGTTCTGTTGACATTAGTCTTATAATAAAATCTAACAATTAATAGATTAACAATTACAAATAAAACACGGTGCTATTTAAAGAAAATTCAGATATTAATCCAAAAACAGCCCCAAAAAGACTGAAATCACAGCTGATCTGGAGAAATCTTCAAATTTGTATTTAATATTTGAAATTCTCACTAAATTCCTTTGATTTCCCCTCCCCATTAAATCCCTTAATGTAGTGAATTAAACCCATAGATTATTATTATTCCTCTGTCCATAGATTATCATTATTATTCCTCTGTCCATAGATTATTATGGGGAGATAGGAGTGTCAGTCCCCCGCTCCCCCCCCGGGGATGATAGGAGTGGCAGTCCCCCCCCCCCGGGGATGATAGGAGTGGCAATCCCCCGGGGATGATAGAGTGAGTCCCCCGGGGATGATAGAGCGGCAGTCCCCCTTCCCCGGGGATGATAGGGAGGGGTGTCCCTCGGGGATGATAGGAGCAGCTAGTCCCCCCTCGGGGACGATAGGGAGCTAGTCCCCCGGGATGATAGGGAGTAGGCGTCCCTGGGGATGATAGGGAGCGGCAGTCCCCAGATGATAGGGGAGGGCAGTCCCCCGGGGATGATAGGAGTGGCAGTCCCCCCCTCGGGGATGATAGGAGTGTTAGTCCCCCCCGGGGATGATAGGAGTGGCAGTCCCCCGCCCCCCATGAAGGACACAAAGCCCGCGCTGTTCGGCCCGGCTCTCGGTCACTACTCACAGGCCAAAGTTATAAATGAAAGCTCCGGTGACTCCGGTAGCGGCGACGGCGGCCAGGCCGGCCCAAGGTAGAGAGATCCCGACTTCCATGCTTCCCGGCAGCTCGATCGCTCTGACAGGAGATCCGACCGGAGCGAACACACAGCTTCTCCGCTCGCGGCCGTGCTCAGCCAATCAGATCGCAGCTTGCAGCCCCCCACCAATCAGCAGCAACGAGCGGGCGAGGTCAGCGCGAGGAGGTTTGCGCGCGCGTCCAATCAGAGTGCCGGGGTAAAATGAGATCCAGCCAATCACGACAGACGGAGGGGGGAGGGGCTAGAGGGAAGCTTTGCCGCACGCGGGACTCTAGAATATCCCAGGCATGGCGCGCGCTGCGGAAGGCGAGGAGGGGGTGTGTCCTCGCGCTTGACGCATTTTAGGGGCGGGATTAAGAGCGATGCGTGCTTCTGCTCTCCGGGGGCGTCAGTCGTGAAATGCCGAGTTCGTGCGCGATGTGAGTCACCTCCCGGCTTCCGTCATGATCACTGTGGGTTCCCTGGCAACCCACAGCATCCCCCGCCAGGCTGGCAGTGCATGATGGGATTTGTAGTCCTCCTTGACACCAATCATTTTATCTGGGAATCCATTTATTGGAAGTGCAGGAGCCAGCAGGTAACTAAAAGCCATTTTTATTTATTTTTATTACTTTAACCCCCGCCATGCTGTGTGCAGGTAATTCGTAATACGGACATTAATGCGTTAAATCCTAATACGGACATTAATGCGTTAATTCCTAATACGGACATTAATGCGTTACCTAATGCGGACATTAATGCGTTAATTCCTAATACGGACATTCATGCGTTAAATCCTAATACGGACATTAATGCGTTAAATCCTAATACGGACATTAATGCGTTAATTCCTAATACGGACATTAATGCGTTAATTCCTAATACGGACATTAATGCGTTAATTCCTAATCGGACATTAATGCGTTAAATCCTAATGCGGACATTAATGCGTTAAATCCTAATGCGGACATTAATGCGTTAAATCCTAATACGGACATTAATGCGTTAAATCCTAATACGGACATTAATGCGTTAAATCCTAATACGGACATTCATGCGTTAAATCCTAATACGGACATTCATGCGTTAAATCCTAATACGGACATTCATGCGTTAAATCCTAATACGGACATTCATGCGTTAAATCCTAATACGGACATTCATGCGTTAAATCCTAATACGGACATTCATGCGTTAATTCCTAATACGGACATTCATGCGTTAATTCCTAATACGGACATTCATGCGTTAAATCCTAATACGGACATTCATGCGTTAAATCCTAATACGGACATTCATGCGTTAAATCCTAATACGGACATTAATGCGTTAAATCCTAATACGGACATTAATGCGTTAAATCCTAATACGGACATTAATGCGTTAAATCCT